GCAGCGGCCCCCGCCCCGTACGCTTGTGCTTATAATGAAGAATAAACAAAAAAAAATTCGGAAAGGTAAATTTTCCAGAGAAGAGGGGTGTGTGTCTATTTTAGCAGCATTAAAAGTCGCTTGCGCGCGATTTTAAGTCCTTTAAATAGCTGTTGAAACTTTCATTTTTTGGCACCAGCTGTGCCTATCACGCATGCTTAATTCATGCACTTACCTAATTTGCATATTGTTATTGTACCCTACTCCATTATCCTGTTGCACCCTACTTCATTCTTTTACTCTAACGCCAGACGATTTTACTCGTCAAGGGGACGAGAGTGCTGCCACTCAATGGGTTAATTGATCAGACTATCTGCCAATGCAGGTTAGGCGAAGCACTCCACTCGCCGCAGAACCCTTCTTAAATATCGATATGATTTTGTTTATTGTCCTCTTATATAATTAACATTATATTAAGTTCTTTGTATGCTTGCATGGCGATAAAACATATTATTATATGGCTTTTCAAAATTCTCTATTCTGATTGGTTGACAAGCGGGCCGTAAAAACCCATATCCGGCCGGTGGTCCTTATTTTCCGTATCTGGACCGGTGTCCCGGATGTCGTTTATCTGGCGGGAAATTTTTGCTTTGCAAACAGAAAAATTTTTTGCCTTTTCATTTTCCAATTGTGTGTCATTAAAATTTACAGATAAAAATTTCAAACAACCAAATTGTTTTTGATTGAGCATGCATGCCTACCGTATATTGTTACCCAGTGAAACTGACGATAGCCGATTTAATTAATTCGCGCGAAAAGCATATGCTCACAGTTCAGCCATATAATAAACCGATTATTGACCTCGCTTTTTCGGTATGTACTGTGAAATATCAGACCTCTGTTTTTTGCATGGACCTCGCTCCTTCGTCGCTCGGTCCATACTAAAAAACCCGCTCGGTCTGATATTTCACAGACAGACCTCATGCTCGGTCAATAAGTCGTTATAATAGTTTAGTTTGTGGAAACACCATGTAAATTTATTGCTGCAATAAATTTACGTGGTGTTTCAAAACTATTATAACATCATATTAATATAGAGAGTTCAAGCTTCGAATTAGTTACACGTCAAACGCCAGACAAAAAAAAATTACGGTGTCAGGCAATAGAGTAAATGAACTTGTTGTTTTTAAACTGCAATGCATATTATTGTTCTTTCGGCGCAAGAAAGAAAATATGAAACGAAAACGGTCAACGAAAATTTTGCCAAGAAATTTCGAACCTGCCGTTTGCTGTTGTCCAGAAACGTGAAGCTTAAACTCCCTACTGCCTGATGACGACATGCAGAGGTGAAGCTCATGTTACCACTGTATACATATACACCTATTCTTCATTAAAGGGACATCGCAATAGAAAATTATAGTTCACCTTATTTAAAAGAACTTTTAAAATAAGGTAGAAAACTATTTTTCATCTTTTTCAAATCTTGCTTGTAGTTTTTGAAATTATTTTAATTATTATAAAACAGTTAGTTGTCCACCAATTTGGATAACTGTGGGTATCCATCAGCCTAGACCTAGCTAGGATCTTCTATTTTAAATTTTAGCGCTTTTTGACATGAGAAGTCCCATTAACTTGCAAATCAACTGCCACCTGCCGAGTAATTTGTAAAGGCCTTAAGTCTAGGTTGGATATGCATATCACGTCCCAAGGCAGGGTGACGTAAATTAACGAGGAGCCAATGTTAATGGCCAATCCCCAATTAACCAAAATTTTGAACTCAACAAGTCTAGACAAAAATTTCATCACAGCTTTACAGCATCACAAAGTTAGTAATATTCCAAAGTTTCGTTGCAAAATGTTGTAAAATGCGGATAATATAGCCTTGCGAAGTTTGCAATCAGTTTCAGTCATTTTAGATTACAAACGGGAAATGGTTACCACTTCTATGCGTAATACAAAATGACTGAAAATTACAAACTTCGCAAAGCTATATTATCCGCATTTTACAACATTTTGCAACGAAACTTTGGAATATAACTAATTTTGTGATGCTCCTTCAAGCTGTGATGAAATTTTTGGTTAGGCTAGTTAAGATCAAAATTTTGGAAAAGTGGTAACCATTTCCCGTTTTTATAAAATACAAAAGAACAGTAAATCCGAATAACATTTTGTTTTGATTTATTGACTGTTGCACCAAGACTCCCTTCTCGATAAACGGCGAACTCTTTAAACAAGTCGACGGCGTAGCCATGGGTTCTCCACTTGGCCCTACCCTTGCTAACATCATCATGACTAACTTCGAAGATGAAATTGTACGCCAATTAATCGACTCGAACATTATCAAATTTTACGCCCGCTATGTTGATGATACTTTAGTCCTCGCTAAACCTTCTGATATCCCGAAAATAATACAAACGTTTAACTCATTTCAGCCTCAAATCCAGTTTACCTTCGAAGATTTTCCTGACAACAATGTATTGAATTGAATTTATTACAAAATCTGAATGGCAGCTAACAGCTGAATTGTACAGAGTTGACATTTAAAATACATGGTAAAACTAATACATATAGTAATATACGGTATATTAAAACTAAAATTTATATTACAATTAAAATGAATCATTATATGATACGATACTAGAAGGAATAAAACTTTTACTAAATCTTGTAGTCTTACAATTAATTAAGTTAATATGCTGATCATTACGTAGATTGTAAGTACGTAAGTCCTCGCGTTTATTAGGGCTAAGTTCATTCAATTTATTTTCCGGGTTGAGAAGTTTCTTAAAATAGGATTTACATAAATTATTTCGTCTTTGAGAGGGCAACGATATTTCATGAACTTCCAAGGCTTTGCGGTATGACAGGTCAGGACATATCATTCGTAGGGCTCGCTTCTGATGTGCTGTCGGGACTGCTTCCCCGACAATAAAGAAATCACTCACTCACTAACGTTTACAAAAGATTATATTTTTCGCTTCACAAATCACAGAAATATCTCGCCCTTTTGAAATGTAAATTCTCTCACTGCCCCCCACAAAGCGTCCTCGCGTGGTAATCACGCGCGCGAACCAAATAAGGTTAATTAAACAAAATTAACTATATGTTTTTCGTATTATAAAGTACTTAAGGGTCTCCGACACTCTCCCCCCATTGTCCACGATTAGTGGGGAATGTCAACTAAATATCCTCGTCCTCCGCCCAAAGTTTTATTTTCTCTTTCGCCAACACAGCCGCCGCTCTTCTGGGTCTGAATTCTCTAGCACGTGGGTCTAGGCTCTTTGGTTGTTCGCGATCGTCCTGCTTGGTTGACTCGGTTGACAATTCTAGAGGGTAAAGATCTTGTATCGGCCGGTCGATCGTCGTTTTCCGTGATCTCATTCGAGCGCCTCGCACCACTCCGTCACGTCCCTTAATCAGCTTCGTAACTATGCCGATATTCCATTTACCGCGATTTCTACTGTCGTTCTTGATTAACACTACCTCTCCGACCGTTGGCGTTTTATTCTTTCCCTGGTGTTTAAGGTTGTGTCGTTCTCTAAGGGCTCTCATATACTCCCCCGTCCATCTTTTCCATACAGCTTCCTTACTTCGCAGTACATGCTTTGCACGTCTTTTGATCTCTTCTTCTTCCGTCGAATCCCTTTCTTCGTCAGGAAGAACATACGATTCACCAGTTATCATCAGATTAGGGGTAAGAACTGACAACTCCACATCGTCTTCTACGTAAGTAAGAGGTCTGTTGTTTAAGCTGATCTCCACGTCTAACACGACTTCCTCGAGTTCTTTCCACTTCAAGTGCGACGCTCCTATCACCTTGTACAAAGATTGTTTCACCAGACCAACAAGTCTTTCATACTGACAGCCCCACCACGGGGCCTTGCTCAGATTAAACTGCCAGGTAATGTTGTTCTCCGCGAGAAAGTCATTTACTAGCTCACTCTTGGAAATCTTCCGGATTCTATTAGCCGCCGCCACGAACGTCTTGGCATTATCCGAGTATACTTTTTCTGGTTTACCTCTTCTCGCTACGACTCGCTTTAGACTACGCATAGACTCCTCGGTCGAC